TGATGCTGCTTGGCCTGCTGTGTTCATCCAGCTCTACACCTTGTTGTCTCAGATTCTCCAACATCGGCAGTTCCTACTATCTCTGAATCCACTTTAGCTGAAGTGATGGGATTCATTCCATTCTCTCCATCTCTCTCTCGTTGTCTGTCTCACTGGCTCTCATGCTCTCTAGCTCTCACATGCTCTCGTGCTCAGGAAGTCATGCCTGACAAATCTTTTAGAGTTTTTTGAAGATGTAACCAAGAGGATGGGTGAGGGTAGGGCAGTGGATGTTGTCTATACGGATTTTAGTAAGGCATTTGACAAGGTACCACATGGCAAGCTAGTCATGACGGTTAGATCATATAGGATCCAGGAGAGCTAGTTAATTGGATTCAAAATTGGTTCAATGGTAGGAAGCAGAGGGTAATGTTTGAAGGTTGTTTCTCAGACTGGAGGCCTGTGACTAGCGGTGTGCCACAGGATTCGGTGCTGGGACCTTTGTTATTAGTTACTTACATATGTGATCTGGATGTGAATGTGCAAGGAATGATTAAAAAGATTATCAAAAATTACAGAGGGATCTTCATCAGATCAGGAAGTAGGCTGAGGTTTGGCAAATCCAGTTCAATGCAAAGAAATGTTGCATTTTAGAAAGTCAAACCAAGGTGGGACTTGTACAGTAAATGGTAAGACCCTGAGGAGTGTCGTTGAACAGAGAGACCTAGGAGTACAAGTACATAGTTTGTTGAAAGTGGTGTCACAGGTGGACAGGGTGGTGAAGAAGGCATTTAGCATGCTGGCCTTCAATTGAGGCATTGAGTGTAGGAGTAGGGACGTTGTGTTACATTTGTATAAGTCATTGGTGAGGCCACACTTGGAGTATTGTGTACAGTTTTAGTCACCCTGTTGTAACAAAGACATAGTTAAACTGGAAAGTGTGCAAAGAAGATTTACGAGGATGTTGCCAGGGTTAGTAGGCCTGAGTTATAGGGAGGGGTTGTCCAGGATAGGAGTTTATTCCTTGGGACGTAGAAGAATGAGGGGTGACCTTATTGAGGTGTATGAAATCATGAGAGCATATATAGGATTAATGCATATATAGGATTAATGCATATAGTCTTTTTCCCAGGGATGGCGAACTGAAAACTAGAGGGCATAGGTTTAACGTGAAAGGGGATAGATTTAAGAAGGACCTGAGGGGCAACTTTTTCACAGAGAGTAGTGCATATATGGAATGGGCTGCCAGAGAAAGTGGTTGAGGCAGATACAATATCAACATTTTTTTAAAAAATCCATTTGGATAGGCACATGGATGAGAAGGGTGTAGAGGGATATGGACCAAATATGAAGTTAGAACTAGCTGAGTGGGCACGATGGTCAGCATAGACCAGTTTGGACCGAAGGGCCTGTTTCCATGCTATATTACTGTATGACCCTGTGACTCACTCTCCCTTCTCTCGCTCCCCTCTCTCTCTCTCTTTCTCTCTCTCTCTTGCTCCCTTCCATCTCTCTCTCTCGCTCCCGCTCCCTTCCCTTCTCTCTCTCTCTCTCTCTCTCTCTCTCTCTCTCGCTCCCGCTCCCGCTCCCTTCCCTTCACTCTCGCTCCCTTCCCTTCTCTCGCTCTCTCTCTCGCTCCCTTCCCT